TCCAACGAGAGACTGCTGAGCTGGAATTGATATGCAAACTAGATACAATCAACTCAGGATTGAATAAGGACTGGGAATGGCTGAGCCATTAGAAACATTGAATCTATCTCCCCTTGTAAGTATTCTCACACTTCTTATCAAACTGTCTGTCCTGGGCTAGCTTGATTATCACTTCAAAAATTTTTTTTCTCTTACTTAATTGGCCTCTCAGAGTTGGTAAGACAACTCCCACCTGTTCATGCTCTCTGTATGTGTGTGTATATATATCTCCTCAATATATGTTCCACTCTATATGCATCCGAAGAAGTGGGCAGTAGCCCACGAAAGCTTATGCTCTAATAAATTTGTTAGTCTCTAAGGTGCCACAAGTACTCTTGTTCTTTTTGCGGATACAGACTAACACGGCTGCTACTCTGCAACCACTACTAGTATTTGAATACTGTAGTTTTTAAATAAAAGGTTTTCACAGATGACAGACTTCCATTAAGATTGTTATAAAAAGATACCTTAAAGTGAATGAGCCAGATTCTGATCTTACTTATACTTGTAGAATTCTGGAGTGACTCCATTGATGCCAATGAAGTGACTTTGGTGTAACTGAGGTTCATGTTTGGCTCAGGATTTTAATTCTGAAAACTAATGACCAAGGCTCCTATTCTACAATGAGGTACACAACATGGTCATTCCCTTGCACCTGCATGGAGTCTCACTGACTGCAATCAGCCTCTGCACAAGGTTTTGTCTCCACATATCTCATTGCAGGATTGGGGCCTATTTGTTGATCTATGAGCTATAGGCCGAGCAATAATATGCATACCTTTTAAACTCATGGCATAATTATCCAACACATACAGAAGTTCGTATTTTCCTCCCACAGTCCCAGAGACAGCATAATGTGTTCCATACATTTCTAGAAATCTAAAATATTCCCCCTTGTCATATTCAGTGGGCAGAAACTTCAAATCTTCAAGGAAAGCATCTGTTAGCCGGACATCAGGACTTCGCATTTGGAATCTTCCCAGTTGTATTTTTCCTTTGACATGCATAAAGGTTTGTTTCTGTACAAAAGGCACAATCAGGCATGTTTTACTCAAAAGACAATGCAGAACTTTCAATTTCAGTACGGGATACTCTAGCATTTTGGGACATGGACAAACTTGTTTAGACAGAATAAGAAGTTCCCTAAAACTTAACTTAATCTGAAGAAGTAGCAAGAAGTTTGGATAATTTTAGTTCCCTCCCTCCCCATTTTTGCACAACTCTCCACTTCCCAATTTCAGTAAATCAGACTCTTTGTGTTCTACTGGTGTTTTTTTTTAAAACAGACTCTCTCTAAAATACTTCCCTGACAATTTTGTAACATACTAAAATAATTCAAGCCAGTTTGCCAGATAATGGGCCCTGTTCCTCCACCCACAGAAGTCAATGGGAGATTTGCCATTGCCTACAATGGGGAAAGGATTAGGATCTTCCTTTTTTGGAAGTGCCCTGCTACTCTTAAACTGTCAGAATGAAGGGGGTAGCTCCATTTTCAAAAACACACATAATGAAATCAAATCCAGCAGATTTCCTACTATGCAAAACAGTGTAAGTCATATGAGTGCCACACTCCACTCTAACTAGATGTAATACTACATACAAATCATCATCATGACTCATACATGGCTGATGTTAGTGCGAACAAGAAAGTTCATATCACAGCCCTGATTAAGGTTGGGGTATTGTATATTTCATATGCCTAAAGATAGGAGTATAAAACATGAAACAGTCTCACTTAATGGTGAAAACAAAAGTATAAATCCAAAGCCTCATGTCAACATTAAGTGAAACAAATCCACACAAAGGCCAAGACTTTCTAAAATAGGAGCCTAAAGTTAGGCTTCCCACTTATGGGGAATGTTTTCAAATGCAGGCATCAGGCTCCCAAGACCCATGTCTATCTAACTATGGTACTTATATGGCCCTCATTAAAGTAGAGCCTAAATATCTCAGAATCTTCAATGTTTTTATCCTCTCAGTGCCCCTGTGAAATAAGCCAATACCATTACCCTCATTTTACAGAAGACCACAGGAAACAGAGAGGCTAACTGATGCAGGAAGTCTGTAGCGGAGAAGGGAATGGAACCCAGGTCTCTGGATAGTTCTCTATCTACTAGACAATCTATTCTCTTATATATAAACTAACTTCTATGCCACTAAATAACAGCTTCATTTTCAAACATTTAGCTGCCAGGAAGTTGTCAATTGTCCTATTGTTGTCAATGGGAATTTGCTGGTTGCTTAGCACTTTTGAAAAGCCAGCTATTTATTTATGAACCCAAATACGAAGTTGGATGCTGAATTTTAGACTCCGATTTTTAGAAATCTTGGCCAAGCTCCACTTTACCAAACTGGCTGATTGACTATGGTGCTACTTCCACCGTTGCACTAGAATGTAGATCTGACTGCCAACATGTGATATTGGGAGTAGAACTCAGAAGTTTCTGCTCATGAAGCACTTGGAATAAGAAGATTCTTTTCATTCGCATTCAGTAGTGTTAAGGCTTAAATATACTCCGTGAGCCAACCATTAGTGACAAATGTAAATCATGGACATTTGCAGATCTCATCCAAGGGAGGGCAGTGGTACACAAACACACAAATGTAACCAATAGATTACAGTGAAGTACTAAGAAACTTAGCCCACTAATAGCTGCACTTACTGTCAAAAACAATGCTTAAATAGCCAAATACCTTGCAGCTTTAGAGATCCTTAATCAGCTGTTCTTATTCCAGTCACCACCCAGTTTTCCTATCTGTATCCAATTGCCAACCCCTTTTAAATAGTAAGGCTCTCTTTCCCCTTTGACCTATTACTGCTTTTTCTTAGTGGTATATCATTATTTTTACATTATTCACTTATTCCTGGGTAAGTGAAGAAAGCAAATAGAGGTTAATTTATAAAAAGAATTTACATTAAGTGATAGGACAGTCTCAGCCACTTGTCCCCCATCATAACACAGTGAGGCTTGTTATGCCCCCTCTCATTCCTAGATCACCTAAAGAGGTTGATAAGTCTGCTACTGTCTGTCAGCTAGGGGTGGTGTTCATGCTTTTAGATCTTGAGCTCCTGGGTTCAATCCCTACCGACAACCTGACTGAGGCATCATTACACAATGGCTTCTCTTAATGGTACACCTTGCCTTTTAGTATTATTTTCATGGTGGGTCTAACCTTTTGCAAAATGTGTACTAGCTCTGCGTTTTCCATTACCTTCTTGTAACTAACTGGTTAGAAAGGGTATTTTTAGGCTGAAACTTCATCCAGATTAGAATGGGTCTTACATTTGTTTCTTGATATGAAATTCAAGCAGAAACAAACCCTCAGACAGGGCCAAATCTTGCGACCAGATCCTCAGCCCCATTAACTCCACTTTGTAGCACTTTGGCAGTGCAAAGCTGACTTAAAGCAAGTGTAAGAGGCCATGTGCTATAGACAGAGCAATAAAATGCATAAAGGCAATCAAGCCTTTGGTGTCTTGTGTAATCCTCTGGTAGCATAAAGTTGATGTACCTGCCACCAATCCCCATCACAGGCCTTGGCATAGTGTATACATAGCCAAGGAAAAGGGTGGCTTGCTGGATTGCTCTTGGACTCTGCTAATCCTCAACTGCTGGAATGGACTCTTACGAGCTGTGGCAACTGGTACCACTTAGAGGAGTCCTTTGCAACCTGGTTCCGTCTGAGATGTGCTGTGCAACAAATGGCTGGTCCTGAAGATCTGACCCTTGGGATATTAATCAACATGCTCCATTAAGAGCACCCAAGCTTTGCCTGCCTGGGTCTTCATTGCAATTTGTTACTTAAAGGCTGTTTCTAATTTGCACACAGTGGACTAGATCACAACTGTTCGCTGATAAAGATGGATCATTGCATGCTGATATCTTTGGTTTCTGGCAACATCAATCCATATTGAAGGCCAAGGTAGTGAAATAGGCTGCATTTGACCCATATTTCAGCTACTCCTGAAGTAAACTTTAATCTTTACATTGTCAACATTTTGCCAGTCCCCTCTGTGAGGAAAGCAACAGGCATCCTGAACAGTTTGGACGATTAATACTTGTATAGCCCAACAGTATGCTAATTTCAGGTATGAAATTACTACATCAAATGTTTTATGCCATTAAGCTTACCCTTTCTTTGGAGTACCGCAAGATATAATTTAGACTTTCATTCCTTGAATACTGGTAGCCAAGAGAGGCATTTACACATGTGCCCTGACTGTTTTCAGTAGGTGTTTGTTTTATTGACATGGAAACCGAGAAATGTTCTTGTTTTTCGTGGAAAATCTCTTTTATCATGGTCACACGATCATAGAAGAACTCAGTTGTGAATCTTTTGTCTGCTTTTGTCTTAGGAAAAAAGAGCATAACAGATAAAAACATGTATAATCTATTTAACAAAAACACAATAGCTTGAAACGTATGTAATGAGCAGATACTAAAACTGCATGTTTTATTTTCATGTCATCACTAATGGTATGATAAAACAATCTATATAAAACAGGTGCTGAGGGGCACATAATAGATGAGGGTCTAGAGACTGACAGGTATAATACTGAGTCAGTTTGTATAGGATTTGGACCCAACCTTCAAGAAATAGAACAACATTAAATCAATGGGAAACAGAAAAGTTGGTTTATATGGTTGCATTGTCATTTCAAAAAAGTAAAATATTAATGAGGGCTGGTCAAAAAAAGATATCCGTTGAAACTTTTTTGAGATGGGAAATTGGGTTTTTGACAAAATGAAGTTTGGTTTGTTTGTTTGTTTTGCAAAAAGTCTCTTTTCCATGGAAACTTTCAGTTTTTTGTTGAAAAAATAAATATCTGAAACCCAAAATATTTGGGTTTGGTTGTCGTGCAATGGTGCCTCATGGAAGCTGTAGTTTGGTTCTCCTCTATGGGCTAGGCTCCCTAGCCTGGCCACATCTCCTATTATTAGGACTGGTAGAATTTGATTTTTTTAAAAATAATTTTGATGGATGATATCAATGTTTATTTTTAAGCATTTTTGTTATTTTTATCCACTTAAATTTCACAGTTACACAAAACTATGGGTTTTCATCAATTTTTATTCATTTAAATTTTCAGATTTGTGGGAAATTATGGGGAGGGTCATATCATTAGTTGATGATAACAGACATGGATTTCAAAAAGCTAATGCTTTATAACAAATTACAAATTGTCAACATCACATCAAAATACCCAAAGTAAATAGCTTTAAATCAAACTCTAAGATTTCAAGCAACATTTTTCTTATTTTGCCTATTGGTAAATTTGGATTATCATAAATGGAAATAATTTTTAGTCGGTTTTGTATGTACAGTGAAATGGACATTTACCAACTTTTACTGATAAAAAATCAAATCCTTCCAAGTCTACCTATGATGCACCATGGCCAGAGACCCCCATGATGAAACAGCCTCCCCTCATCATGAGGGGAGGCTGTGGTGCATCATGGGAGTTGTAGTCTAATCAGGTAGTCTACCTATATAGGAAAATGGGAGCATGAGGCATGTGAACCAACTCACATGGGGCACCATGCCAACATATCCAAATGGAAACATTTTGGTTTTCAGCTGAAAAATATGTCAAAACAAAATTTTCTGTCTCATAAAAGCTCATTTTCTGATCAGCTTTAATCAGTATGTGAAACAACTATTGCTGCACTTTGGTCTTGATTTCTCTATAGAACAAGAAAACTGGAGATTAAATGCTTTCAAAATATAAAGGTGAATATTTTCAAAAGTGACTAGTGATTTTGGGTGTCAATATCAGGTGCTCAATTAAAGCTCAATACAATTTGAAACACTTGAAAGCAGCCTGTCTTTTAGAAAATGCTATATACCTCACCTATGAAAATCAGACTTCTTTAAGAGGTGTCAAGTTGGCACCCAAATCAGTAGTCCCTTGAAACCCTCCATACAGCAGTCTTTGGGCAAGTTATCATCTAGATTTTACTTTGACAACACAAGAATCTCACAGAGCTTTCATGGAGAAATCATTTGTAGAAATGTCATGACAAATTTCACACAGTTGCTTCAGAATTTACCATTGTGTTACATGGTTGGCACGGCATTCATGATATTTATTTTTTTATTTCTGCTCGCAGTCACTGAAAATGATTTTATATGTGACAAATGCTTGTCAAACTGTGACCATTTTGTTAGATTCAACTATGACATGCATAATTTCATTTCATTTGGCTCTTTTAATGATTTTTGCCTTTGCAGGGTATGTGTAAAAGGCAAAATTATCCAGTTTCACATGTGGCATGAACGTATCATAAAACTCTAAAAAATCAAAACATATGGAACCCCCTCTCCTCCCCCAACATCTGGATCAGCTCAGCTGTTCACAAGTAAGCAAAGTTGCAGTGACTTCCCCCCCCCCCTTTTATCTTTCTGCTTCAGTGGGTGAAAAGTCTTTGCTATGTAAAACTGGGAAAGTGCCGCTACATTTAAGGGATTATAATCTTCAATTTCCTATTAGAATGCAGATAGGAATCTTTATGGAGTCTCAGCCTCAGAAATGAAGCAGGATTGCCATTTCATCCTCTTCCATCTTCGGTACCCTTAGTCTATGGCTAATTCCAAATACTTGCTTTTAATGTTAAATAAAAATACTAACAGTATCATATTTTTTTGTATTAGTAGAATATACAGGTTTGGTAACAAAGAAATGCTACCACCACCAAAAATAAATATACATGCTGCATGGCAATGCTTTATGGGTCAGATTTAGCTAGCCTTACTTGTATTGACACAGAACCTTAACTGCTGTGAAGTCAAATGTATATATAAGTTATAATTGCTTAGGTACAGAAATTTTTCTCTAGGAAAAGTTTAATTATTAAATAGCTTTTAATATTTTTCAGGAATTTCCTCTTGAAGCAGCCTTAGATTGCCACCATGTGATTTCTTGCTTATGTAGATGCAGAAAACTGTAGAATAGTAATTATTTTTAGCTATAAACTGAACTGAGGCCGAGCCACCAAAAGGATTTTAATATTAATGTGAATTAGGATCCAAATCTCCTAGAAGACTTTGAAAATCTTCATCTGAATCTGCAAAGGAAAGGTGATCTGGTGGTTATGGGACTCGACTGGGGCTCAGGAGAGCTAGGCTCTTTGAGAAAGTTACTTAATCTCTGTGTGCCTCAACTCCCCATTTGTAAAATAGAGATAATAATGCTCCCTTCTTCCCACCTGTCATCTCTGTCTTGACTATTTAGAGTGTAAACTCTTTGGGGAAAGGACTGTCTCTTACTATGGACTGAGTGAATAGAGTGCACTAAACTCAATGGGTATATAGGCTACGTCTACACTTGGAGCTGGAGGTGTGATTCCCAGCTCGCGTACACACACTCACTCTAGCTCTCATTGAGGTAGTGCACTAAAATAGAAGAGTAACTGTGGTAGCATGGGTAGTGGTGAGTAGAAGCACGGGGTAGCCGCCCCAAGTACAAACCCACTCAGGCCCGTGGTACGTAGTCAGGAGGCTAGCCCATTCTGCTGCTTGCTACCGCCCATGCTGCTCCAGCTACACTACTTTTTTAGTGCACTACCTCAATGAGCACTAGAGCGAGTGTGTGCTCAGGAGCTGGGAATCACCAAGTGCAGAACCCACCTTAGTCGGGCCTCTAGGAACTACCACTAATACAAATAAGCTCTTCTCTTCTGGATTCTGCCAAAATCATACTATGGAAGAATTATTAATGCCTGAATTAAGAGATAGTTTTGACATCCTGTTGGAAAACTGAATCTCAGTCAACCACCTCCTAATTTTTACACAGAGGCTTACATCATAGTTGAGAACAGCAACATTCCATGGCTTGCGGTAATAGGTCCTGGTATTCCCATCACGCACTCGTTCACAATGACCATTAAAATACTCATTTTCAAATGGGCTTGCCATTGGCTGCATTCCTAGAATGTTGATTCTACAAAGAAAATAAAGACACATGTTAAACTTCAAAAAGATGGTGTTAGCACCTTTAGCCTGTAGACAGCGGTATTATGACCTAGAAAAGCCAAACTACATAAAAATTACATATGACAAAAAACTGAATCTGGAGTTCCTGTTGTTCAGCATTGATATTAAAGATCCCATAAGACTTTTCACAGGAGTGAGGGTTTGCAATATTGCCCTGAGCCAATGTACTGCCATAGTTCATCTCAGAAGTTACTGGATTCAGTGGTGCTACGAGTGTACCATGGGTTTTGTATGTTACATTTGTTTATAAAGATTGTTAAGGGTGCCCAGGAGCTTGGGATGGAAACTCTGATAATAGAAATCAAAAGACTAATGGATATGGCACCACATTAGGACTCGGGAGAGCAGCGTTCTAGTCTCAGTTCTGCCACTGGGATGCTCAGTGACACTAGGCAAGTCACGTCTTGGGGCCTTAGTTTTCCCATCTGTAAAATGGGGATAATGATATGTCCTTTGTAAAGCACTTTGAAGTCTGTGGATGAAAAGTGCAAGAATGAAAAAGTGATTGGTATTATTAATAAAAATGAAACATGATGGGATCCTTTGGAATGAAAGGAACCCTATAATAAAGCCCTATTTCTTCTCAAATAGCTATTCAGAGCTAGCAAGCTTTATGGGATCAAAATAAGGATATATTTTTCCAAATACACTTTTATCAGATTGTTTCTAATTCTCAATATTATATTGTATATTACTATATTTTGCAATATCAAGTGTGTACAGAAGCCACCCAGCCTTCAGGAGGAATATACAGCTAATGTTATCCCAGACACTGCTCAGGAAGAAACAGAGCTAGGGCACTACAGTGGCCTAGATCGGAGGAAAGGCAATTAAAATAATAGCAAACACAGGAAAGTTAACAGATTCATCTTCCAGTTTCATAGATCTGGTGAGAATGTGAGATAACAAGTGTACAAAGAAGATATACCTAAAATCACTCCTTCCTGTGGGATCTCATACTGGGATTTGCCTTTCCTTGGCTGTCTCCTAGATTGTAAGCTCTCTGGAGAAGAGGCTGTCACAATCTTTGTGTCCTGTACAGCACCATGCACACTGTTGACCTTATCTAATAGCTATGAACACTGCTATTATACATCTAAACAATATTTTCCTTATAGAAGAGCTAACTAATTGTAATAACACTAAAAGACTTTAAGTGCCTAGCACATTTCTGGGAACTTCAAAAATAATGTTTGCTTGTTTTTCGGTTATAAAGGTCTTCATTTATCAATGTTAGACTATGTCTGAGATAGAGGTGATAGGGAAAGGCTGTAATTTTCAGTTGAACACTAGGTGGAGCTGCAACATGCTGATATTTTTGTCTGTTCCAGTTTATGCTGCTGATTTCCAATTCAATTTGTACATAAATTACAGGCCCTTCCCCACCTGTCCCAACCCCCAAAACAAAAGAGAGCAACTCCCCAAACAAATAACCAAACCTAACAAGCCAACAAACCACCAACTACCTAGAGGATGGGAAAGGAAAGGTAAATATATGCAAAGAAAAGAAGATGAAAAATGCTGCTGTAACCAATGAAGCTCTGGGGATTCGGTAGTCCATAGGATGTTAAAACAAACAAACAAACAAACAAACATTTTTCTAATATTCCCTGTCTGCGAGGTAGTAACGGTAGTAATGGAGGGTATAATTGCTATAGATGCAGACTTTTGATGAAAAAATATCTGGATATATTTTCTCATTTTTCAGATATTACTTTAGTATGATGATGGTGGGGAAAGATTGTTTGAGAAGCTGCTCTAAGAACAATAATGAACTAACCCACTCTCCCCCAAACCCAGCTACCTAATATATAAAGGTTTGAGAAATTTGGTGATGGATGCCTTGCTAAACCCCAGCCATTTCTAGATTGGGCAAGAGGGGAGGGCTGGAGAGGCAGAATCTCAACATGGTATCCATCCCCCTCATGCAACCTCCTGGGCACTACTTCTACAGATCTAGTTACAGAACCCAGCATCAGTGGCATGGCCATTTTGTAAGGCCCACAATGAACAAACCTTACGTGCTCTGGAACACACTGCACGATACAGAGCAGGGGTAGTCAATTACTTTTTTGTCAAGATCCAAATTTCTTGGTCAAGGTATAGTCAAGGCTCAGGCTCCAGAGAAAACAATAAAAAAAATGATAATAAATACATTGGCGGTGTGTGCATCCCCTGTGTGGGGAGGCTAGTCCCCTGCCCCGCCTCTTCCACCCAAGGCCCCGCCCCACCCTTTCCACTTCCACAGCTCTTGCTGGCTGGCGCACAGATGCAGGCCTGAACCCTGGCCTACCAGCATCTGGAGGAGCCCTGGCCGGCCCACTGGTGCCTGGAGGAGCCCAGCGGAGCCCTGGCCGGCCTGCTGGAGCTGAGCCAGGACTGTGGGCCGCCCAGAGGTGTTCTGAACACTGCCCAGAGGCTGCTGTGGGAACCATTAGCAGAGGTCTGGGGAGGCTTAGCCTCCCTCAGCCTCTATTACCCACCGCCCAGGAATAAATAAATAAAAAGATTTTGGGGTCCATTCAAAAGCATCTGGTGGTCCGGATTTGGCCTGGCGCGGTCTGCCTATCGACTACCCCGGTATAGAGCTTGTGCTTGTAGAAATATGAATATAGCCACAGCAGTGGGGCTTAGTCAAGAGGTTGCCGGAAGGTGATGGCTACCTGCTGGAGTTGGGATGGGAAGGAGGAGATTCTCTGGTCATTCTCCAGGAAGAACTGCCCAAATCTGATGACGTTGGTGCCTCCGTTTGTAAAACATATTTAAAATATCTTCAGCTGCCTTCCCTGAAGCAAAGGTGGGTTAATATAACAGCAGCAACACGTGGCACTTACAGTGCTTTTTGCCTGATCTCAGGGCATTATTAAGCATTATTAACCCCAGATGAGTAAAAGGAAACAGAAGTTAAGAATTTTGCCCAAGGTCACAGAAGAGGCTAGTAGATCATGAATAGAATCTTGGGGCCTGATCATCTGGCCCATGTCTCCTAACTTTGTCTGGTGCCAACCAGGGTGTCTCCCTTTAGCTATGACTTTTCCTTGAATACCCTTGTCCAGCAGTCCTTCCAATCTCGGACACTTCAATGTCCGGGTCACGACATGGCGATTTTGGATCTCTCTCACAGTCACTTTCATCAGAAAAGTCTCCACAGTCATTGTCCACATTACACACAAGCCTCTTCCTTATACATCGACCTAAGCAAAGAATGAAGAACTGAACATTTCTAATCCTTTTTTAACATGGGGTTTACATCAGAAAAACAAATATTCCTTACAGGAATCTTCCTCTTAGAAGGTGTATTTTCATTTCAACCAGAAAGAGGTAAAAACCTAATCCCTTGTTCCTCTAAGTGAGAAAAAAAAAAACCTTTAAATTTACCAATTATTTTTAATGGGATGGCACAGAAAATTAAATGGCAGAAGAATTTCTGACATTCATAGAGAATTATCGTGATTTGATTTATTTTTAGATTATTGTTTAATGTCAAGATTTGGGGTATTTTTCTTTGAAGTATAAGAGTGTGGGAAAACATTAGTTCTTATAGGTTAGTGTCAGCAAAGTCATATTTTTGAGTTGCTTGGGAGGATGTAGCATATACTCAAAATAATTTATGTTTTTATTGTGACGTACAAACAAGGGGAGAAATTCTGACCCCATTAAAGTCATTGGGAGTTTTGCCATTAACTTCAATGAAGGGAGGATTTCACCTCAGTGGTTTTGTGCAGATTAATTGTCTCTACATGATTTAAAGATTTTAAATCAGCCCTGACATAAGAAGATGCAGTCTATTGATGTCAATTAGCTGGCCTGTAAAGTGCTAACTAATGTCTATGTAGTATTATTAAAATATGCCTTGGGAGGGTTGATTTGTCAAATCCCCCCTATGCAAAATAAAGTCATAGAGTTTTGAAATTTTACCTGTATTCTAAGAGGGTTTGAACCTAGATCTCCAGAGATAGACTGAACTGCTGAAGTCACCTGGACTTCCCCACTTAAATGTCTCTTTTCCCCACTGATTTTTCATAAAGCGTAAACAAAAAAGATTCACTCAGCTCCATTTGGAATGGATACAACATAAGAAAGGAAACTTGTGGAACTGGCAACTTTTCAGATGGAATAGAAAGAATAGTTAAGGAATTTAAACCTAAATATATAGGCCCTGATTCAGCAAACTATCCATATTCAGCAAAGTATTTAAGCATGTGTTTAACTTTAAGCACGTATTTAAATCTATTGACTTTAAATGTGATTTGAACATGTGCTTAAAATTAAGTAGATGCTTCTATGCTTTGCTGAACTAATTAGCCTGGTGTGAAAGCAACACCTACCTGAATCACATCTAAAGTCAGCTCCACAATCGATTTCTTGCTCTTCTGGACAGGCTATGCTGGTTTTACAGCTTTGTGTGTCTCCCAATGATTCCAGGCACCGTTTCCCATGAAACTGTCCAAATTTCTGAACACTTCTAGAGCGAAACTACAAAGATATATAATAATAATAATTAGATCTGCTTAAAGAAAAACAAGACAAAAATTCAAATATAACTAGAAATTTTCCCCCTCAAAATTTCATCCAAATTAGAAATTTCTTCATGAGCTGATTGGTTGAAAACCAGGAAAAATAGTTTGTGGAAATGTCATCAATACGTTTCCCTTTTTGTCCCTTAATCTCAAAGTTGGAAATTTTGTCAACATTTAGAAATTGAAAACATTTTGACTAGCTCTAATAATAATAAAATAAAAAATATTTTGCACTTATGCAGCATTCTTACAGCATCTCAGAACAGGTTACAAATCACATCTTTGAAGTACTCCCCTTTTTTTCTTAAAGCACAGAAGTGGACATTGAGGAACAGGTAGGTTAAATGACTTTCCTAATGTCACACAGCAAGTTGTTCACAGAGGCACAACAGAACTCAGATCTCCTCATTAGAGATGGATGAAATTTTTCAGACTAAACTTTTTTTTAACAAAAAATGCAGATTTGGGTTTGTGACGTTATAAGTGTAATATAATATCTCATTGAAAAATGACAGGTCCAGAAAGAGTTAATTAACTCAGACTGACCTGACCCATGGCCGAACTTTAGAAACTGGTTAGGAAGATATGTAAATAAATAGAGCTTTAAAATGCAAGTCTGCATTGTTAGAGGTAGAAGGGTAGGTGTTTGCTCAGGTCTCGTGACATAAGCAAACAAGTCTTGTCTATTGCTATAGCTTTGATTCAAAGATCAAGAAAGGAATATTAACATTTAGGAAGATACTTGAGTGAAATAGTATTATTGTCTATATGTCTCTTTGAAGGTTGTGGTAATCTGTATCTGAACTGTTTAATGGATAAATTACCCTGTGCTAATTGCCAGGATGTTTGGAAGAAGGAGAGTTAAGCCTATTGTTTTCTCAGGCCAAAAGGCTGCTGGAAATGTATAAGAACCCTGGGACACGATCCTGCTTCATCTCAGATCTGCTTTGGGTTTCAAGAGGGGGAAACCTTAAGCCATAAGGCATTGATTGGAGTCACCCTGAACATGGACATTGGACTATAACCTATGGACTATTTCTAAAAGGACTTTTGGCAACTACAAGCTCATCTCTGCTATGTATCTAAACCTCAAGAATTGAATTCAAGTCTGTATGTATATTGATCTTTTAACCAACACTCACTCTCTTTTCTTTTTTAATAAATTTTAGCTTAATTAATAAGAATTGACTATAAGCTTGTATTTTGGGCAAGACCTAAGTTATAATTGGACCTGGGTATGTGGCTGATCCTTTGGGATTGGAAGAACCTTTTCTTTATATGATGAGATAAGATTTTCAGTAATTATCATCATATGTTTGACATGTGTGTCTGGATGGAGGCCTGAGGCTGGGCACTTTAAGGGAACTGCATTGCTTGGACTTCTGAGTAACCTGTATGGTAATATAGAAGTTGTTTTGTGCTGGCTTGGTAAATCTAAGTATTGGAATATCCACCAGCTTTTGGGGCTTGTCTGCCCCATTCTGTTTGCAGTTCACCTTAATTGAGTGACCTCAGCTGGCTCCCATGGGCAGCAACCGTCACAGGGTTGACTGAAACATTTTGCTAATTTGTGTTAATTTTAAAAAGAGAAACAAAAATGGAATTTTCTTTTGACAAACCAAACTAGTTTGTCCAAAAAAATATATAAATAAATAAATCATTTTGGGTCGACCCGAACTGTAATTTTTTGTTTTAGCCAGAAAATTGAAAAATATATTATTCATATAGATTTACTCTTGAGTCGCATTCTTCTGTTTCTCCACTAAATAATGCTTTCTCTCATTTACATTAATAGGTTACACTCAGAAAAATCTAAGTAGTAAATTTTATTAAAAATATTTCAAATTATGGCCAGATTCTCAGCTAATGTCCATCAGCATAACTTCATTAACTTCAGTGAAGCTACGTTGATTTACATTACTGAGGATTGGGAAGACTGCAGATACTTTTGTGGGAATCTTTCATTAATAACCAAATTCTGAGGAACATCTTTGTGTAGCTTGAAATCTTGTAGCTTCCACCAACAGAAATTCGTCCAATAAAAGATATTACCTCCCCTATTTTGTCTCTCTCAAATTCTTATGGAATAAGTACAAATTTCATATTTTATTTACATTTTAGTCTTCCTACTGAACTGGCCTCATACTTAGTATTTTATTTACTTGGAACCAAGTTTTTTTCTACAAAAGAAGTCCCTAAATTATACACAAACACAAGTCGAGGTTTAGGAGAACTTACTTTTTGTTCATTAATTCCAGACTTACAGCCCTCACATATTATGACTGCAAATAAATTAGCAAAGATGCTATGTCTGAAGGTCTTTGGTAAGATCTGGATGCAGGAAGTCACTCGCCATGCATAAGAAAAATACCTTTATGGAACCTACTGCTTATGCACAATATCACATATTCCTATGTGCCAGTAGGTGGCACTCGTTGTAACTAATTCTTCACATGCACATATAAACAGATATATAGCTGTGGCACTAGTCACAAAAGGCTTATGTGGTGTTTTTTGTTACCATGAAAAATGACAAAAAACTAAAAAGCTTTCATAAACAAAATCTTCATTTTTTAAAAATGTTCTTAAAAAATGAAAACAGAAAAGCCCGGCTGTCAGTAATTTTTTTTTGTTTTTTGATGAAAACCTAAAAAAAAGTCAATCAAACTTTGATGTTTCCTGCAAAAATTTCTGTTTTGCCAACAAAGCCCTTTTACATAGCAGTCTGTTCTTAGGTATAAAACAGTTGAGGGTACCCTTGAATCATAACATCAGAATGTTGAGGAGGAGTTTAGCACTCCACTATAATGGAGGACTTCTAAGGGTGAATGTCAGTCAGTAATTCCTGTGTCATTTTAAAATAAAACAGTACACCTAGTGCTTACCCTTAAATTTGAGCATGGGTCACATGGTCCCCATTCACTCCAACGGCTCAGTTTACAGTCTATTGGAGATTGAGCATTAGGTTCTCTTGTCCTCCTATGCAAAACTTTCCCTGAAGATCTATCAAACAAAACATTTCAAACACAATCTCAGTTGGCTAAAATCAAGCACAAGTTTTAAAACATTGGTTAATGGTTTAAAAACAAACGTCCTTTTGCTACATCCTGGTTCACTTGCACAGCAGACGTTGGCATTTGGATATACAAACCGCCTCATTCTCAAACTCTTCACCAGGTTAAAAGGGGAAAGTAGAGGACATTTTACTTTTTACAAATATTTGAAGTCAAAGAACAGTTAATGAACCAACATTTTTTCTTCTTTCCTGGATGGATCAGGATCTAGTCTTTGTGTAGGTCATGTTAAGCTGCATGTCAGGGAAGGTAGTGAAATAACAGCTCACGACCAGCCCAAGGATCGCGCATAAACTCCAAGATTTGGTAAAATCAGAATTAAAGGCCTACATGTTCAAACGTGACTGGTGATTTTGGTGCCCAGCTTGAAATACCATAAAAGGACCTAGTGTTCAGGGAGTGGGTGCTCAACAATTTCTGAAAAATCAGGCTCCTTCAAGGTGTCTCAAGTTGGACACCAAAAATGGATGCACCCAGAATCACTAGTCACTTTCAAAAATTTGGACCAATATTTTTAAGATTACCTTAACTGGCTTCCTATCAACTCTTAGTTCATCTTTCTAGTTCTCATCCATTATATGGACAGTCTACAGACACAGAAAGTGACCATTATTTTACAAATACTTTGGGGCTTAAATTGACCGGACAGCAACTCTTCTATCCTAAACAGCTCAGGGATGCAGTGTAACCCTTTAGAGTTTAGAGGGCCAACTCACCTTGGCTGGCTCTGAAGCTGCTTCCAGTTCCCTGCCATCAGACCAGTGTACTGCTCTTCTCCTGGGTGTGAGACCCCACAGGTCTAGACCTCAGGCCTGCAGAACTACCAAACAGCTGACATCTCCAGGCTACCATCCAGTAGCAGCTGTAACCAGCTAGTATGCCACTTACTGTGACCTGCTGTGGACAGAGACCATGGGAAGTTCCATCTCGAGGGTTTGACAGACAGCAGCCTGAAGGCTCCTGACTGGCTCCCTGCCCTATATAAACTCACAGGGTATTCTAGGAAGCATCCAGGCAACAGTGTGGATCTTCTGTAGTTGCCACAACCATTTCTGCTTTCTTGTTTCTGACTTTCTGGCTTTGAACTCAGCTTGATTTGGACTTTGCCTCTTGACCCTTGGTATTGATCCTGGCTTGGAACTTGACTACGAGTTCCTCTGCTACTCCCAACCTCAGGTTTGCCCCTGCTCTGACCTTTGGCCCTGACTGTCCTTGTTGGGATCCTGACACTGGGTCAGCCAGCACAGCTTCAACTTCTAAATGTATGCCAGCCAGCCAGCAGCTCCACTGCCTCCCTCTTCAAAATGGTTCTCACCCCAAAACCTCCGGGCCCCAAACTTGGGTCTACTGGAAATAGGTCCTTGGCTGAGGAGGAGAATACTTTAAATAGGTGAGACTCTAGAATAATTTGAAAGCTGAAAGCAGCTATGTGCACACAGATGTATTACACTAAAGTTTTCTCTACATTAAGCTCTGCTTGGAGCTGTGGAGTTGGTGACAGGGAGACAGTTACACCACCCTGATCCTGCACCCCAGTTCCAGCATGCACTATCATGTGCTGCAGGCATAGAGTCATTAAAGGGGCACATTCCTGTGTAGTATTGGTGTAGAGACATGGGGCACCACCACACCCTCTATGCTGGGTGTTGGGGACAGCTAACAGCAGATGACTTTGAGTCAGTGAGGAGTTCACCTCTTCCAGGAAAGTTCTCTACTGGTGAGTTACAGCCAGAATCTGTCCCTATTGCTATTTGTATTTCTACAGTTCTTTCATCCCAAAGTACTCTACAAACTGACATACAAAGTATGTGTATATCTCTCACTGATGGATGGGACTGGGCAGTGGATATGGCTTCAGGCTAAGGATATGATATTTATTTTTAAAGTTACTGAACAATCTCAAAAGGTGTTCCTGTCATGCATATGTTGTGTTACAGCTACTATCCTTCCCAAAGTTCCTGATGCCCAGTTACCTTTAGTTATCTCCTATCGTCAGGGCCGTCCTTAGGATTTATGGGGCCCTATGCAGTATTATTAAAATGATGCCCCTATGCCTGACGGCAGCCCGGGCTCGCATGTGTATTTTAGATAAGGGTGGTCTTTTGAAGGATTTATTTAAAAAACTATATGTCTGAAGATCCATGCATTTAAGGCTAAGATGAATACTCGGATTGTGCATCTAAAAATCTATGCAAGGATTTTTTAGAGACGTGATATTATAATCTTCAGCAGCACACTAACAAAATATTTTTAAATCAAATTTTAAACTAAGGTCCAACATGTTCTGAGTAAATATTACAGTAATGCACAACTGTTTTTGTCAGTAAATTCAGAAACTGACAGTATATACCTGGGGATTGGCAAATGCCTGTTAAAGAGCCATTCAAGTGGTAATGAAGACATTTAACAGTTTCAGTGTTGTGCTGATAGGTCTGGCAGGCTGGAGGCTTTTTCACTTTTAAGTATTAGATCCCCTCCAGAGGAAGACTCACCAGGCTGCAGCAGCCAGGTGTGGTGGGAGCCTGCTGGAAGGGTCAGATTAGAACAGGGATAGGAAGAGGTGGAAGGGTGGACACTAAGATCCAGAGGTGCCCCAAATTTATGCTGTGTATGCCTAAGGACGCCCCTGCCTATTGTAAACACTATAGGAAAGCCCAGTCCACTAGAGCATCGTAATAAGTAAACAGAGTAAGCAATGGATTTTTTTCTCTTCCCTCACATTCATCATTTTTGCAGGTGACTGGCTGGCCTGCTTACTCCTTCCTGGACCTCCAGAGGTAACTGCTTGGCCTGCTTCTCCTGCCTGACACACTTATGAGATCTCTATTTCCTAGAGTGTAGGGATCTGTGACGGGTTGGATCACAGAAACCCCCTTGGGAGCTGCCACCTGATGTGCCAAGACTACCTCTGCTCCTGTTTTCCCTGCCAGCTCAGGACTCCAGCATCCTGTCTTGCTGAGCCAGACACTCCCATCTGCTCCAACACGGACCCAGGGTCTGAATCACTTGCCCCAAAGCTGCAAGTTTACCTGAAAACAGCTCACAGAAGTGTGCTTGTCTTTAGCACTCAGATGCCCAACTCCCAATTGGGTCTAAACTCAGATAAATCCATTTTACCCTGCATAAAGCTTATGCAGGGCAAACTCATAAATTGTTCGCCCTCTATAACACTGATAGAGAGATATGCACAGTTGTTTGCTTCCCCAGCTATTAATATATACTCTGAGTAAATTACTAAATAAAAAGTGATTTTATTAAATACAGACAGTAGGATTTAAGTGGTTGCAAGTAGTAACAGACAGAACAAAGTAAGTCACCAAGCAAAATAAAATAAAATGTGCAAATCTATGCCTAATCAAACTGAATACAGATAATCTCACCCTCAGAGATGCTTCAGTAAGTTTTTTCTCAGACTGGACACCTTCCAGGCCTGGGCACAATTCTTTCCCCTGGTACAGCTCTTGTTCCAGCTCAGGTGATAGCTAGGGGATTTCTTTATGATGGCTCCTCTCTCCCCTTTGTTCTCTTCCACCCCTTTATATATCTTTTGCATAAGGCGGGAACCCTTTGTCCCTCTGGGTTTCCACCCCCCCTCACTGGAAAAGCACCAGGTTAAAGATGGATTCCAGTTCAGGTGACATGATCACATGTCACTGCAAGACTTCATTGCCCACTTGCCAGCACACACATATACAGGAAGACTCACAGGTAAACACAGCCATCTGCAGACAATGGGAGTCATCAAGATTCCAAACCATCATTAATGGCCCACACTTTACATAATTACAATAGGCCCTCAGAGTTATATTTTATATTTCTAGTTTTAGATACAAGAGTGGTACATATATACAAATCGGATGATCACACTCAGTAGATTATAAGCTTTGTAATGATACCTTACAAGAGACCTTTTGCATGAAGCATATCCCAGTTATGTTATATTCACTTTTTACCATATTTTTCTAAAACTATCCCAGTTACATTATATTCACTTATCATGTTTTTATAAAACCATATAGACTGCACAACGTCACAGGATCATTGTACTGGGCATGATTTGGGGAAGGAGATTCCCTAAAGAGAGGGGAGTGGGCCAGTTGTCCTCAGAGATACTAGTAGCGGGCACTAGGGGCCAGATTTCCAAAAGTGGTTTAGGCACCTACAGATGCACATAGATGCCTAATAAGATTTTTCAAGAGCATCTAGATGCCTAACTCCTATTGATTTCAAATTCAACTAAGTGACTGGCTGCTTCTTTAGTCTTATAAATACCTTTGGGAATCTGGCCCCAAAGATACTGAAAAAGGTACCCGTTGCTACAATGATCAACACCCCCCGTCCACAACACCTTTCAAGATCCATGGGCTCTACACATGCCTAGCACAACATGTGATGTACCTCATCCAGTGCATCAAATGCCCCAACAACAACATGGGTAAAACTAGACCATCACTATGCTCTTGAATGAACTCACACAGAAAAATGATAAGACAAAGACACCCTATTACCCGTGGACAAACTCTTTTCACAAAGTGATTACTCCATAGCTGACCTCGTAGTCCTCATACTCAAAGGAAACCTGCAAAACACTTCAAAAGACAAACCTGGGAGCTTAAATTTACAAACCTACTAGACACCAAAAATAGACTAGTTTAGAAACACTGGTTTTATGTCTCAATCTGTAACCCAAATCTACTTTCTCCTATGAGTGCAGAGGTGTTAATTGCTCACTTCATTTTGAATGGTTTCTTGAAACTTCTTGTGCTTAACAGTCTATTCCACCTCGTATTTAACTGTACTTACCTTTCCCAGACCTGAAGAAGAGCTCCAAGTCTTCTCTCATTCACCAACAGAAGTTGGCCCAATAAAATGTACTACTTCACCCACCTTGTCTCTCTTTTATTGTCTTTCTGAGTTAGGTACCCTACCCCATCATCATGCAGCATAGAGTTCCCATGGTTTGCTAGAAACATGTTCTGACAAATGTAGGAATTTTGGTAATAATTTTATAATTAATGTGCATACATCAGTTTTCCTCTGTGCTTTGCGTTCTTATGTACTGAGAGTGTAAACAGTAGGGATGAGGTATTTGATTCATGTAACAGCCTGGTTAGAAACCAGAGTCATTAACAAGCTGACTAGAGTCTACACATGAGTGGAAGATCCAGATTAGACAATGGAAACCCCAATGGCCAGGATATTCATACCTATTAACTAACAGCCAAGAGATTCCCCACCTGTCTGCAGGGAAACAGAGCAAAGGCTCAAAACTGGAGAACAAAGGAAAACGGTGTCAGGTGGCTGTGTTAAGAACTGAGCTCATAAAGACATGGGGCTGTCACTGAGAGACAAAAGGGAGAGAGACAGAGAAAGGAAGCAAAGAGATTCTATAGCAGTTGCTTCTCTATGCCAACCTAAGGACTTCCAGATGCTGCATGCCAGGTGACTAATAAATTGCTGCCTTGTTTTGAAAAGGTTGCCTGGTGTCACTGCAAATACTTACAGAGACTATTGCATGCTGAAGAGACACCATACAAGCCTCTCACAGGAGTCTGGCTTAGCTGGAATCAGTGCAGGAAGTCACAGAGAGCGACAGGGATTGTTGGTGCCCAAAGGCCCAGTTTCAGAGATAGGCAGGCCACGTCCTTCCCTCTGAAGAACGATGTGGTTCCTCAGGACTCTAGTACACTAAAGGAGTCACTCCAAAGGGACTAGTTACAGGCCGGGACATAGACCAGACACCTGTGCCTTGAGTTTTCAGATATGTGTGAACTTAAATATAAAGAATTTGTTGCAAATAATCTCATGACCTCTAAAGTGCCAGTGCTTGGTCTGCAGCCATTGTCTCTATATACAGGAGAGTTATTAGCTTGTGCTTTGCTACATCCTAAAGAATGATGGCTTCAGAAGAAGACTGACCCACATTCCATGTCCCTCTGATAGGCCTGAGTGACAGCTATGTGAAAAGTGTTTTAAATTAAGTCATTTAAAATGGAGGGGATTAGGAAAAATGACATGCTTGTCATCTCACTATTAAACTCGGGGAAATAGTTCTACTTACTGACACAAACAGAGCTGAGTCAGGAGATTTAATGCACCTAGTTTGAACAGGAAGGAGTTGAAAGCAGCTCAGCAGGGAGCAAGGACTTCAAAGACAAATGCTGAATTCAATATGCCCTATAATTTCTGCTCAGAAGGGAGCACCCAGCTGTCTGCTTCATTCTCCAAAGTGAGTTTTGTACTTTGAAAAAGTGGCTCACATGGATGTGCCCAACCCCCTGAAACCGAGAACATCCCTGAACCCTGGAGGAGTTGGGCTCCACATCAAAGCATTGCCTCTGAGGCCCATTAACTGATATACCCAAGATCAGTGTATCTGTTCATCAAGGATCTGAGCTGTCCCTGAATGAAGAAATAGAAAAACAGAGAGCCTTGGCTAGCTGACAGTAAAATATTGACATTTCAGCAGTTGGGGGGTGGAGAGGGGAGAGGAGAGTGCTCTTGGGAGGGCTGGGAGAATTTCCCAATCTACACAGAAACTTGATTGCACTTTTCCTGTGGTCTTAGGTTGCATAACACTGGCCGAACTCGATTGATGTGCCAGAAACACACCCGGTTGTGTTAGGGATTTGTTATTGGCCAACACTGTAATTTGTTAAATCATAAGATGACAGTGCTTGGGGCCATCTTAATAAATAGTTATGAATGATGAATTCAAGCAAGGGAATTGGCTTGATGGTTGAGTTAAGAGCAAGCTGCAGGCACCAAGAGGATCTGAGTTCAAGGTCCAAGAAGGCTTCTCATCTGTGTACAATACTAGTAATCTCACCTCTGAATGGATAATGTCAGAACTTCCAGAGAAGAGCAACAAAAATGATGAAGTGCCTCAAAAACTTACAGGAAAAGAGAGAAGATTAGGATTCTTCATGATATGAAGAAGACAAATAAAATGGGACACAAAAGTTTAGCCAAGGTAGATCAGAAGGGGACTGGAATTGAAAAGATGCGAAATTCAAAGCCAATAAGAGGAGATACATTTTCATACAATACATAACTAAATCATAGAACTCATGAGGCCAACCCCCTCCCACCTGATCTGTGTCTTTCATCCCTTTGAATCTTAAGAATATCCAGTTATTGTTAATAAACTTTTTAGAAGGGATGTTAACTCTCATACTTCAGGATTTAAGCCTCTTTTAGGAAGTCAGGATGAAAGCTACTTTGGGACAAATTATCCCTAGAACTGAGCAAATGACAACTTCTTCACTTTGGGGCCAACACCCCCCCCAAAAAAATATCCAGTTACATTTGGACCAAGACAATTTTCAAACATTTTTTCTGATGACTAAAAACACCCCCCCAAATCCTAAAAATAGTTTGCTTCAAGTTCACCAAAATGTTTGTCTACTCTAAATTAGAGTTTTTCCATTTCAGTTCAGCCATTTCAGGAGTTACACCCTGGGTGTGTGTTTTATTTTTTAATTGGCCAAATTTGAAATCAAAACATTGAGTCAACGTTTTGTTTAGACTTTTCAAGTCAAAACAATTTTTTCCCCTTCAACTGAAACTATTCAGGTCACCCCTGTTTCTGACCCCCTCCCCCCAAAAAAGCCTTTTTTGTGTGTGTGGACAAAACCACTCCACCCTCCCCCCCCCCCCAAAAAAGTTCTCCTAACTTCAGTTATCCCATTTCTGCCTACTTCGGGGTTCTTATACCTTCCCCCAAAGCATCTGGTATTCACCACTGTCAAAGACAAGGTATTGGACTAGATCTGGCTCTTGGATCTGATCCAGTTTGGTAATTCCTACAATCTTATTTTAGGAGCACTGAGCTGGCAGGACTCTGTTGCTGAAGGTGAAATCTGTCTTTTTGCATATCTTTATGGAGATACCATATAAGTAGTGCAACTCTTAAGACAGCTGGTCACTATTACATGGTACTGATGCACTATTAATAAGGTCTGGCTTGAGAAAATGGAATATAGACTAGGAGCTTTGAAATGTCAGTAATCCGTAGCCTCATCACTAGAAAAGTAAATGAATCTCTCAGGGAGAAATGTGTCAGCCAAAACAAGCAACAGTCCAGATTATACTTTAGTACCACGTTTATTATAAACAACAGAGCTAAAATAACGGTCTCCATACAAGTATATAACTACCGCTGCCTTTAGCCATATATGGTTATTATGCCATACAGATGCAATATAAAATCTAAAGAACAGGAGTACTCGTGGCACCTTCAAGACTAAAATTTGAGCATAAGCTTTCGTGGGCTACTGCCCACTTCTTTGGATGCAACATAAACCCACGAAAGCTTATGCTCAAATAAATTTGTTAGTCTCTAAGGTGCCACAAGTACTCCTGTTCTTTTTGCGGATACAAACTAACATGGCTGCTACTCTGAAACCTATAAAATCTAAGGAGTCTGAAACTGATACTACCAGGTAGCATTTTAAAAAAAGGTAACAAGACTCTTTCTTGGTTACAATAAGAAGACAGCCCTGTAGATTAATGCACACATTTTACTGTCTGTTCTGGGTAAAACAAAATCTAGTACAAAGCTGTTGATACAAAGAAAAAAAATGAAAGGCATTACCTTCTCTGTCCTGAAACCAAGCTGGTGGCTTCTAAAATGCATAGCGCACATATAAGTTGCAGGATAACATGCATGCTTCTAGCTTTTTTAGCTAGATGGAAGAAACTGCTGGGACTGAATTTGTTCCCTGCGTCATTTATTACCAGAAGCACAAAGGCAACACCCACAAAGCATGCCAATGATAGGCCATAGCTAATGTTGACTTATGGTACGTGCTCAAGAGTTCACTGAAAGCATGGTGGGAAAGTAAGCCTGTATGAATATTCAGGTTGTCTTTTGTTGCAGTATTTTGCCAGCAAAGAGTGCTGTATTCTTTTTTCAGTATTCTCCAACCAGGTAGGGAGTAGAGCTTTTCTACTGAGCTAGAAGACACTTGAATACATACAACTTTCCATTGTATTCCTTTTGCAGTATTCTCCAAACAGTTCAGAAATTGTCTATATTCCAAGGAATCCCAATGTGGAAGCTTTGGACAGGGGGAGATTTTTTGCAAGCCCAAAGGACTTGCACTTACTCAGACTTTAAGACTGATCATCTACCCTGAACATCACAGGGCAGAGAACCTTACCCACCCACTCCTGTAATAGACCCCTAAACTCTGGCTGAGTTACTGAAGTCTTCAAATCATGGTTTAAAGACTTGAAGTTACAGAAAATTCACCATTTACACTATTGTGCTACTGAATTACTAGTCATGACTGAAGGCCAGAACAGTTGAAGAACCAGTTGTTTGTCTAAAGGGCATAGGGACTCAAAACAGATGAGTCCCTAGGACACTGCCATCAGACCCTACAATCTCATAGAGATGGTACCAGGTGCTGGATTCTGCAAGTTACTCTATGCTACTTGTGGTGCAACAGTGGCTATTTCCAAGACCACTATCTCTGTCAAAGTTTCATTGTCAAAACTCATTCTGGAGAAGTCACCTGCCTATAGTATTGCAGGTATTATGGGCTATTATACATGCTGAGTGCTTTGAGCCCAGGAACAATATATTACATTGAATCTACTGCCCTATTTTCCAGGGATGAATGGAGCATGTAACCTTTTGCTGTTTCCTTTATGGATTTCCCTGTAGTTAGGAATCTCTCCATTTTGGGATTGGCCCACTACCTAGGAGAGGGGCCCACTTGCTCATTTAAGTGCCCAAACATCAGGGTTAAGTTTCCCTAGTAGGAAAGATTTCAGGGTATGGACTTTGTCCTAGGAATGTTTTAGTGCTGAATAGTTGAGATACCTGTACCGCTAAGTGGGCCGTGCCCATTTGCTCATCCAGATCAGTTCTTTTAATAACTGAGTGATTCCTGCTACTATAACAGTGTTTACCATTTCAGAAGTGTGAAGCAATAACTACATATCAGGAAGATAAAAACCTTATACAGCAGAAAGAAGAACAGGAGTACTTGTGGCACCTTAGAGACTAACAAATTTATTAGAGCATAAGCTTTCGTGGACT